ATCCCTGCCCTTGCACCATCTTGAACCTGCATTCATCAACATCACCCAACCAAGCAGAGCCGTGAAGCCCCGAAGCTAGAAGCCCCGCGGTCAAACTGCAGTCTCTGTTGTAGTTCTTTGTTGGTTAAAACAATGTTTTTTGGTTAGGACCCCATAGCATCAAGCCGGTAAGCCAAAGAATGAACTGCAATGGAGAATGGGGACTCGGCAGACCCTGATCCCGAAGAGCCTGAAGACCCCGGCGGGACAAGGAGTCGACCTCAAACCCTAAATCGCCAGGCCTCGACCCAGCCCCTTAACCTTAACCTTATGTGTGTATATATATATATGTATATATATATATATATATGTATGTATATATATATATATATGTAACGTTGAAAAGTAACTGCATACGTTTATAATATAGCTGCATAACCTACAGTAACAACCCTCCCCATAGATAAATACACATATACAGACATACAGACATATGTACATACGTACGTACATGTGGTGTAGATTTTGGGGGGTAGATCTGGGGGGACTATATATATATATATATATATATATCTATCTATCTATCTATATATATATATATATATATTTATTTATTTATTTGTTTATTTACATAGACATACACGTGCATAGTATGTGCCCAGAAATCCCCAAACATCCCTAAACCGTAGCCGTAGCTCCAGGTCGTTCAACTGCTCCTCGCCAGCGGGGGCCAGGTCAATAAATGCGACACCTGGGGGGCGGCCCGGCGGAACCTTCAATTCCCCTAATATAGGGGCCTTGGTAATTACCAAGACTATTTTGGGGCTCCTTACTTTAAGTATAGTAGAGTATACCTCGAAACCCTATTCTAATTGTTAAGGCCCTGATATATATATATATATATGTATATGTTATATGTTTAGATGGCGCCTAGGGGTTCGGAGTTTGTGTTGGGGGAAAGCCCTGAACTCCAGACTCTCTAGGACCCAGCCTTTGAAACTACCGCAGGTCGAGGACTCGCACTTCTGCAGTTGTAGTGTTCTTGGGTTTCAGTTAGGTACTGCCCGCATACAGTAAGAGTCTATAAAAGGGCTACTATTATAAGGTCCTAATATATCTATAGTTACTGAGTGGGGGCCGTACCCAAGGTTTCAGTGGCACTTTTGGAGTCGGCGCTCTAGGTGTTGTAGGGCCTGAGCTTGGAATAGCGAGGGATGCCACAGACAGGTGGCCGGCGGCGGAAAGAATAGTGGGCTTGCTTAGGATTCGGACCAGCATTTCAGTCGATCTGGATGACATAATTAGTGCGGGTGCAGGTGTGGTCTTGCCACCATTCTCCCAATGTTTCGCAGTTTCAGGTCAACCCGCTCCGGGCGGCGGTGACCAAGGGCGTTGTCCCCCTCGCGCAGGCATTGCTAGGCACGGCCAGCCAATCTGCATGATTGTGTTGAAGCTGCCCAATTTTGCGGTATAGTTGCGACTGCTAGCGCAAGCAATATTTGTGCTGGGAGCATGAATATTTGAATGAAACTGGCAGTGACGAGCGCGGCAGCAACAGCAACGGCATCACCAATGTCACTGGCAATAAAAACATTACATGAACACGAAACACCACCACACCAACACCCGCACCTGCACCCGCACTACCGCCGCTGCCACCACAGTCGCCACTGCGCCACCACCACCACCACCACCACCACCACCACCACCACCACCACCACCACCACCACCACCACCACCACCACCACCACCACCACCACCACCACCACCACCACCACCACCACCACCACCACCATGCGGAGTCTTGCAGTCAGAGCAGCGAATCGGGTTCAGGATTGCCTGGCGAAGGTTTGTGCCAAGCCCGACCTAAGCTTCAGGGTTGGTTCGTTGTACGTCGCCGGCAGTCTCAGGCAAAGCAACTCGAGTCGGAACCCCGCGGCAGTAGGAGAATTCAGCAGGTGCTGCCGCCGACGTTAATCAGTCGGACTGCGGCGGGAACACGCGCCTGTTGCGGCAAACAGTGGAACCGGAAGGATTCGGCTGTTTGGGATTGTTCGGATTTGGGCAGTGGGGTTCTGAATGATTGGAGTTCGCTTGTTCTTCTAGTACTTGTTTGATGGTTCATACATAGGGTCGCGAGGGCTAAGATACGCTAAGCTCTTGTATGCGCCCAAAACGCGCTGACGTAATCGGGGCTTGGGTTTAGGGTTATATTAAAGGGTTTGCCCTCATCAATCAAACCACGCCAACAGTGGATTCGGACATTTTGCAAGCACACAGATACCGCCAGAGTTGACAGCAGCCTCGACCCCAAACCCCTAACCGGCCCTAACCCCTAAACCCAAAAGAACCGATGCTTCAGGTGCCGCTAAGCCCTAAGCTAAACCCATAATAGTACCCTGATAAGTCTCTGAAAGGGACCCTAGACCCCTTGATCCCATCGCCTTGGCGTATCCTCAACGCAAGCCCTCGAACAGTTCCCCGAAATCTCGTCTCATGGCTGCTCCAAGGCACTTAACATGGGAGGGTTTGGGGGTACATAGTAGGGTTCCATGGTACAGGGGCCTTCATAGTTGAAACAGGGTTTCGAGGTATATTGTACCATATAGCTAAGCTGTAATACAGAACCTCCCCCCCCCAAATAAATAAACAACATTGTAATTCTGAAGGCCCCCACATTAACGTGAAACCCCGCAGGCCTCTGAAACTTGAACTACCATAGGGTCCTATAAGGGTGCCATAAGGGTACTATAAGGTTACCATAAGGGACACCATATAAGGGTCCTATAAGATGCAAGCCCTTCACCCTGGACGCTGTCGTTAGGCCGCTCTTCGCTGCCGCTTCTTCGGGCTACCTGGAGCTGGTAGAGCTCCTTGGCCGGATTGAAAGATCTACAAAAGGCTTACAACACTTCATCGCATCAACTGCGCTTTAGAGTTCTGGTTGATCCAGCTTTTTAGCTTTAAGCTGTAGGTGTTGAGTTTCTCTCTGCATCGGGTGCTAGCACTAGTCATCTTTGTTTGGTATCACTCTCCGTTCTTCGGGTTTGCGGCATTACCCCTACAATTTTTCGCCTCCTTTGACTTCGCCTCTTCAGTTTGGCAAGCCACTCCGCCTTTACACGGAGCTTAGGGTTAATGTAGGAACCTGATTGAGAAACCTTGGGCCTTTATTGGGGTCCCTTATATGGTTCCTACTATTTCGGGGTTATATAAGTAGGGTTATAATTGGGGTAACTCCATTTAGGGTACTTATAGCTCTACTTACAACCGACTTACCAAGTCCCCTGCCCTTCCAAGCAACCGGCCGCACCGCACCGCCAAACTACCCTCAGCCTGAACGTTGTGAAGGTGGTTTTTCCCTGTAACATGACAGAGACAGACACAGATAGACATCTATAGAGGTACAGACCCGATAGAGAGAGAGAGAGAGAGAGAAAAAAAATGAATGTGTATATATATATATATAGTACACACACACACATATATATATATATATATGTATTAACCTTGAGTCCGGGAAGTCCATTCCAAGCCTCCGATTTGGAGCTGCTGAGGCTGTTTGCCGAGCATCGGGGCGACGTGACACCTGGAGGAATAAGCAAGATTTTCGGGGTTCTTGCGTCGCCCTACTCCGTTGGAGTCTTAAGAAGCTTTCATAGCTGTCTTGTTGCCTCTCGTAGGGGCAGTCTGGAATAGGCATGGTTAACTTTATGCAATCTGCCTCCAGACTTTCCGTGCAGGGACCGAAGTTGGGACTTGGGATCTACACGAAGCGTTCCGGCCTTCCTTCGACCAGGAACCCTAGCTCGCGAATCTCAACCCCGCACGTGCAAGCCTCTGAATCCTATATAGCAGCCTCCGTCCTCTGGGTACTTTGTTTTTTGAGCCATCCCGTGCACTGCCCAGGAACAAAAGCGGCAGCAGTTCTACCCCACTCCGTGCAGCATCGGCATCTGGTCATGTGGAGGCCTTTCATGGACACGCGTACTTGAGCGGTCCGTGTATTTCGTGTGTTTGACTCGTCGTGGGTAAGCCCCCTATGTAAACCCCTAAACCACCCTGTACCCCCCTAAACCCCAACCCTACCTATAGTCTCCATTGTAGTTCCTTTTTTTGGTTAACCAAAATCGCTATTATAGGGTCCTAATCATAAAACTACCATGGAGACTATAGGTAAAGCCCCCTAAACCCTAAACCCTAAGCCCTAAGCCCTAAACCCCAACCCTAAACCCTAAACCCCCAACCCTAAAGCCCCCTAAGCCCTAAAGCCCCCCCTAAACCCCACAAGCCGCTAACTCCCAAACCTTCAGTCTCCCAGATGACGCACAGGCCGATGCTCTGATCGGGTAACTCCAATAGCAGTCATTATATCATTATATTAGATATTATTAAATATACTGTATATATATATAATAATAATACTAGTAGTAGTAGTAGTAATAATAATAATAAGTATGCTATATAACACGACCGATGCAGACCCGAGGCAGGTTAAACCCCCGAAAGCTTCAGACACCTTCATTATAGAACCCTATAAACCTCGCGAAACCCTTGTGCTACGAACACTTGGTGAACTCCTACATGCACTTCCTATATGAGGCCCTTTGAAAGTAGCCCTATTATATTGTACTGCAGGGGGGCTGCACCCAACCTTTGCAAATCATTCTCCTGTTCAGGTGGTGGCCTCGCTTTTGGCTCTACGAGCAGTCTACACCTCAGCAAATAAACGGCAGAAGCGCTTTTAGGGTTTTGGGGTGTTCTGTAATTTTGGTTTACGGTTTACGCTCAAACCCACTACTCGCAGTTAGCTCTTTTTCTTGTGCCGTTCTTTGAGGTTAGAATTGCTGATGCCCGTGCCTCTCTAGCCCAAGGAATGCCAAACATAATCTGGTTGGTCATACCTGCTCGAGATCCCCAAAATTCGTGACGAAAAGAATTCCTCTGCAGCCGTTTAGATTGAGACACTCGTCCTCACCCCGAACCGAAGGCTCCGGTCTTCCCCGTGCGATACTTCCGCCATGACTCGGACAGTCACCTCGCCCATGCGATCCATCGTCGCGCTGGCGATGCTGGTGACGGCACTTTGGTCAATGGTACCAGGAATGTCTTACACAGCGCCAGCAAGGGGCGGCCTGAGCAGGAAACAGATGCACGGCAGCATCCACAACAAGGACAAGTTGCCAGGTGTCATCGAGATTCCCTTGGATGAGGAGGAGCCGGAGCTCGATGCAAAGCCTGAGATGCCCGAGAAGCGCGTGCCCTACTCCATGCACATTGTCACCCAGCTCCCGCAGCACAAGCACCTTCATGAGGAGAGCAATGCGCGGAAGTTCATCGAGGACAAGGTGGTGGGTGCCTTCGAGAACTTTGAGGGCTTCATCCGACATGTGGAGGTCCACCTGCAGGTGGCCCGCAAGCAAACTGACACGTGCTGTTGCTGCATCATTTCCGTCGAAGTTGTGTCTATAAAAGTGCATGTATAAAAGATGCATTTTCATATGCGTTTGCAAGTATATGTGTATGTGTATGTGTATGCGTGTGTGTAGAGTTATGTATGTATGTATGTATGTATGTATGTATGTATATATATATATATACTTATGTATTTAGACATGTCTATCTCTCCATCGATTCGTCTATATCTATATCTATATCTATATATATATATGTATATACATATATATATATATAATGTACAAGTTACATATGCATCCAAAATGAGAACCTTCAGCGCATGGAAGATGTACATGCACACATATGTATATATGTATATGCATATGTATATGTATATGTATATGTTTATGTACACACATACACACACTTAAGCCGTAGATAGACGCAGGCCGCACTTTGTAGCGTAGATGTAGTCATGTAATGCCAACCGCTTAGATGCGGGTGGCAAGCCGGAGCCATGCTCTGCAGAGCAGGAAGTCAGAGAAGGGCAGTAAAGCTTAATCAGAGGCTGCGTAGGTAACCTTTAACCTCTCCGGTGCAAAATACCCCGAATTGTACCATCATGAAAAGATAGCTTTTCTGGCTGCGAAAGACATGCGACACGTGCGCAGGTGTCTCCTCATTTCCACCGTGAGAAGCGCCCGGACAAGGTCCCGAAGACCACCATGACCTTAGCTTTTGATGAGGAGGGTGAGGAGATGCAAGTGGATGCTGAGCCGGAGCCAGGGCACAAGATGTTGACCCCGTTCATCATCAAGGCCACTGTGACTTTGGTCAACCACCACAAAGTGGTGCTGACCAATCCAGAGAAGCATGCCCAGTCGAGCTTGTCCGAAGCCGTGGATCACATGACGGACGTCCTGCGCCACTCCTTGCGCGAGGAGAAGAACCGTATGATCGCCGCCAAGCGGAAGGAGAAGGAGCAGGTCCTCCCCGAGGACATGGACGGAATGCTGGACGATGACTTCAACTTGGCTGTCTCGAATGCCCTCGCCGAGGCCAGTCCTGAAGAGGAGGCGTTGATGGAGGCACTCTATCAGCGCATCGAGGGTTCCCGACAGGCCTAGAGTCTTGAATGAGGCCGGATGCACGCAACCCAGGCTCCTTGCTTTCAATGTTTCCATGCAGAGTCTGGCAGTGTCTCTATTAAGTAACGATGGGTGCTGTGGGTCGATCTCAAAAAAAGCACAGTAGGATAGATACCATTCCAGCGGCTCGTTTGCATGTGCGACCCAGTGACCCCATACTTTTTGAAGCATCACCTCTCCCTTTCAAAGGGCGAGAACGGAAGTACAGGTAGCGTCTTGGAGTGGTTGGGGGGAGCTGCCAGAGGCTCTAAGTCAGAGCCTGGGTGCTCGACATCAACTTAAACCGAAACGAACAACTACGGTTTAGGGTTTACAATAAAGGCTTTAGCGGTTTTGCTGTCTTCCATGCATCGCAACCACCCCGGATTATTTCAGGTGTCTCGAGCGGCTTGTTCCAAGCCGAAGCCCAAGCGGGTTATTGCTAACAGGGCTCATGATCCAGGGTGTTCTTTGTTGGGCAGAGCTCGATTCACAGTTCGTTGGCTGTGAAGAATAACACATAATATGGCTTGTGGAGATGAGGCCCCGTCGCGAGATGGCAGAATGCTCAAGATCCAACCTCGGAGGTCAGAAGCTGCACAACAGTTGCAGCACGTTCCAGACAGGAGCCACCGGTTGGCGCAGACTGCCCAAAAGCATGCCGACATCCACCATTGCAGCTGATAGAGATTTATTTTGCTCTGTTTTCGGGCTCCGTCTCAGGCAATTCGTGGACCTTCGTTGTTAAGGTTGCAGGGAAGTTGTAGCATTTATGCTTCAGTGAAGTTGATGGTCATGCTTGAGGATTTAGGGAGGCCTTGTCTAAAGATGTCCAACTCTTGCAGTGCAAGCTCTTTTGATTCACTAGTTTTACCGTCCGCAACTCTTGCGGTTCTTTTGTGAAACATGCCGCATGCGTGTTTCGTACAACAAGGGCTAACAGTACAAGCCCTAAGTACAGGGGTAGGGTACCTAAGCTGCAAGAAGAGGAACATGCAGCAGACAACTTGTGGACCCAAACTCGTACGCATGTATGAGGACCCTGCATGCGGTACCCCTATTTCTGAAACACCCATTAGGGGGTTTCCGAAATAGGGTACCCTAACTAGTCGGACCCTTATTATAAGGACCCCAAATTACGGTACCCCTAATTTTCGCAAACTCCCAAATTTACGTTTCCAATCAGGACTGCAACCTCGACTGCCAGAGCGGCACGCCCTTGGTCGCCGCTGCAGGAGCAGGTCACGAGAAGGCCCCGGGAAGCTTCGGAATACCCTAAGGCCTCATAGAAGTTCCTTTTTTGCGGTTCATATTTAGAATCTTATGAGGTAATCCCAAAACGGAATTACTATGGGGCCTCTGGGCAGTCAGGGAGTAGGGTATACAGGTTTCGTATTTGTTTGATTTCAATGTGGAGCATATACGGTAATCAGGTCTCGTATTTTATTTCAATGTCTATTTTGTTGTGATGTCAACCGCTCTGAACAAGTTCGGTTCGGTCGTAGGTACTACTTGTTTCACAGCCCCGATATGAAAGGTCAGGTTTGACAAGGGTGGGGCTTCCTGCGATCGCTTCCATACACTGCCGGAAGGGAGTTGGAGCCATCGTCCTATGCCCTCGGCGAGGCTCTAGCAGAAAACGTAACAGCAAATCTATGTGGGGTTCTGTCCAAGGTGTCCGTTCCGACGCTTGGGAAGAGAGACCTCTGCAAGAGACCTTGCCTCAGATCAAGCAGCAAACCCTGCACTTTCAACCCACAGCCTCTATCCGAAATTCGGCGTGAACCTGAAGCCTCAAATTAATTCCTAAGCGTATATATATATATACATATATATATATATACACACATATACACATATGTACATATACATATACATATACATATACATATAGAGAGAGAGACACAAACACACACACACACACACACACACACACATATATATATATATATATATATATATATTAATATCTCATGAATATGTCATATATATATATATATATATATAAATATGTATATATGTATATACATATGTATATATATATATATATACATATACATCGAACCCTGACTTGAAGAGCAGGTTGTCGAGCTTCTGGTCTCTCATGCTGCAGACGTCAACAGGATGCTTGGAGAGCCCCCAGTTTGCCCACCGTGTGTGTAAATGTCTCAATGTGATTACGTGAAGAAGCGTGTAAATCTGTAAACGTGCCACTGTCTGATTCCGGTGGTTACTTGGATCTATTTCGCGGTATACATCGCAAGCGTTGTGGCATTGTCCTGTTGAAGCTGTGAAGGTCAACATCTATGCACCAGCTTCAGACTGATGCGCCCATGGATAGAACAGGGCTTGGCTGGGTACATGTAGAGTGTCCAAGGAGGAACATCTCCGGCACAGCTTTGGTTGCTGCTTCTTCCGCCGGGCACCTGGAGGCGCCTTCATGTCAAGAGCTGGTCTTGCCCTCACCGGTGGTCGTCCCATCATATAACCCTAAACCCTAAACCCTAAACCTATAGGACAAGGGAACATGAGCGGATAATCGCGGCCGTGAATCCCAGAGGAAGCCAGTGAGGACCCCTCACAGCTTAGTCGTCGGCTTGGAGATGGAAAATTGCCGGGACCGGTCCTTTAAGTGTCGATGCAGGTTCGAGGGTTTTGGACTTCTGGTTTGTGAGTTTGATGGGTTTTGAGCGGTGGCATTCAGGTTGTCAATGCTCTTCTTGCGGCCGCAGCTGACGTGGACAAGGCAGGAATTGGCTAGAGCCGTTTAGTTTGCGGTCATGTGCCTGTGTTCTGAGAGTGTCTGTGCCCCAATGTTTTCCTATGGGTGCTGAGCCTAAGTTGACAACTACAAGCCACAGCTTCTTTTATCGACCGCAGACCTGGACCCTGAGGTCTGCATACGTGGTACAGCCCTGTCAAGTGCAGCGGCGGCAGGCCACTACGACATTGTTTGCAGGCCAGCCGCAGCCTGCAAAGCAAAACTACGACACGTTCGTATCATACTTTTATAAGTTAACACACGGCATGCCTCCATTTGCAAACAATGTAAACGAACAGTTATTTGTGTACATATACTCACATATGGACCTACACAGGACCTACACTCATATGCACATAGCGCATCTGTATATATCGACGCAGAGCACACATACTGTAAGAAGCACACACAGATACATACATACATATACACATATCTCTATACATGTGCATGTGCATAGACAGCCAGACAGATGTATGCATGTCAGTATGTATGTACGTAAGTATGTATGTTTGCACACGCATGCATGGAAGTTGCTAGGTAGGTAGGTATGTAGAAGCGATAGATGGCCGATCTGCTGATTCATTAGAAAAACATTTATTCATTGTCAGTTTTGGATAGACAGACAGATAGCAAGACAAATGGGTAGTCGGCTGGATAGATGATGAGAGAGCGAGCGAGCGCGCGCGCGGGTGTGTGTGTGTGTGTGTGTGTGTGTGCGTGCTAGAGTTAGAGCTCGTTGGATGGACGAATGGAAAGATAGCCAATATGCATATAGCTAGAAAGTCAGCCAGAAAAATAGATATAGGGATAGATAGATCGTTCGAGTTTCAGATGGATTCATTGGGTGATTGGTAAACAGGTACAAAGATAGCTAGACGGATAGGTAGATATATGAATAAATAAATCGACGGATGGACAGATCGACAGGTCGGTCGGCCGGTAGGCAAGTAGGATAGGATGTAAGTGGGTATATGTACATCTGTATCGGTAGGAGGGAGGGCGGGAGGGAGGTAGATAGCTAGATAGGCAGACAAGTACGCAGCTAGGTCGAAAGTCGATGCGTAGGTAGACAGGCAGGAAGGTAGATAGTTCGGTAGGTAAAACAGTCGGTAGGTAGAGAGATTCGATAGATATGGATGGATAGATGCACATCATGCAAACATGGAGAGTGAGAGTGTGTGCGTGTGTGTATAGTATATCGGTGTCAGTTTCCAAGGATAGGGTACGTCACTGCGCTCGCAGGCTGGTCGAAGCTTCCGCAAACATCCGCAACTCTTCGATGACCCTTGTTTGCGGTTGCTTTTAGGCCTGTAGCCTTTTACTACTTATTGGCTGTAAACTGAACTTTTCAACTTTTGGGGTTCTTATAAGGCAGTGGATTCTGAAAGTTTCAACTTTTATTTCTTTGGGTTTTGGGCCAGTGAGTTTAGTATAGTAGAAGGGTTAAGGGACTTGCCCGTCAGGGCTACGCATGCATTTTGCTGTCCAGGTCGGGAGGCGCCGGCTCGTCTTTAAAGCGCCACTTAAAATGGGGGTTTCCGAAAATAGGGGAACCAATATAGTACCCTAAATAGCAGGATCCTTATTATAAGAACCCCAAAATGAGGTACCCCTATATTCGGAAACTCCCAAATGTCTACAAGCCTGCACTTGTGAATGCCCTTAATTCTGAATGGTTCCGGCTTGCTGCAAGCACCTGATACCGCTCTTTCATGTTCGCATTAAGGATTGTTAATGCAAGTCCCTCAGCACTGCAATAAACCCCTACACTCCATATCGGTGGGGGGCAACGCATAACATGGTGTTCGGAAGAATTCGTGTAAAAAGCCTTTGCAGTTCTTGACTATACTCATAACATAAGATGCCCCCAAGCTCCTATGAATGCTAACTGTTAAGGTTCGTCTACAATGCTTCTCAACCCTAAATCCTGAACCCTAATGCCCCCAAACGCTAAACCCGAAACCCCAAAGCAAAACCCTAATGCCTCTCACAATACTCGTACTAGGACCTAGAGTAGGGCCTGATTCCCTTTCTTAGGGTTCAGGTTCCTTCTAAGTCCCCCTTTAAACCAAAAAGGGCACCCTTTTTATTCCTAGGATACTCTTGGGTTTAGCTTAGGAGCGCCTGGGATCCTGCGGAAGCCGCGGCCTCTGGCGGCCACTTTGAGATCGCGCGGATGCTGCGCCACGATAGCCTCATGGAGGCTGCGCCGGGCTGGGCCCCGGGTCTAGATAGA